GCTGATCACCCACGATCTGGGGAGTGGTTTTAGTGGGTTGTTACAACCGATTAATGAGGCAACTAAACCTATCATTTAGGAGCGGATTAAGGGGTCAGTTACACCCTTAATCTCCCTATAAATATCAACAAACTCAACGGAGTTCAGGGGGGATCTTTGGATTGTTGGGATCGGATTTTGATCACTTGGAGAGGATCTTCTGATCAGATTTTCCAGAATCGGAGAAAGAGGATTGACTCCTTACACAATCTGGGGAATCAACAAACGGAGAAGCTCCAGACTGTCGATACTTGGCCTATTAACCGAATTATTTTCGGTTTGAACAACTCTATTACTAGAGTTTGTTGCTTGTTCTGAATCACGAAACTCGTCAAGAGTTATCAACCAGACAAGACTGTTGTTCCAGTGAGCATAGATATTCGGATCGTCAACGAGAAGCAAACTCGACACAAACATTCGAGGGAAGCATCTCATCGCTACCAAGAAGAACCCAGAATTAAACAAAGGAGAGGATCCAGATCATTCTCTTCTCTTTTGTAATCGGAAATCCAATTGTAATCGAGAGTTGAGAGAGTTGTAATCATTCTTTTTCTAAGCAGTTAGAGAGAATAAAATCAAATACATTTCTTTCATTCATTTTTCTTATTACAAATTTTCCACAAACAATGGTGCATTAATGAAAGTTTTTATTAGATTGACCTCTAACATACCTATCAAAAAGATGTGTATCATCCAAGAACAACATTGGCCTGCATCCCTCCTTAAATCCCTTCCAACAAGCATAATAAGACACAAATACTCTTGTAAATCTTCCATCTTCATGCTCTAAGTGACCAATTGATCTCGAATTAGTTTTCATAACTTTATCCTTACACCATCGAAGTTGGTCATATGAATATTTAGTATCACCATACAATTCACGTTGAGCTAGCTCTTTTCCCTCACAAATTCTATGATAAGGGATGTCCAAACCAAATTGTATTTTAACCTTCTTTTAGAAATCAATTGTGCGATAAGTGGGTTGTTCTTTCAAGATGGATTTGAGATTATTAGCATTCCACTTACGAAATGCCCATCTATATCATGCCTTTTCTATGTCTCCTCCTAAACAACTATGAGAACTATAAATTTTTTTACATAGAATCGATCATTATCTCTACGACGGGTGCAATGACACATTCATTCATAGTTTGTGGCCTTGCATTTTGTTATCACTCTTTTGTGTTTATTTTTTACAAAAATAAAGTTCAAATCTCATGGAATAGAGTAATTACTTAAACTCCACCGACAATGCTCAACATTATCAAATTCTTGACCAATACTTCTAATTGCATTGTGTCATGCAAGAGGAACCATATAGAGCTCATAACTTCCTAAGACATATTTTGTGAAGACGAAGGGTTTTGTGAATAAGAAGCATGTTCTTCACTAGAGGGGATGTATGGATTTCTAGATAGAAAATTGTATCATAGTAAAAGAAAGTTAGAACTTTAGACTTTATGGTAAAAATATAAAAAGATATCAAAGTGTAATTTACCTTATATGGACAGTATTAGATTGTTTCCTAAATAATTCTCTCGATTCATCTCAGCATTCATAATAACTACATTCTCCTTGCAACTTTGATGTATATTGAACATTATTGAGACATCATCATAACAAACACGCACATTCGATTCTTCTTAGCGTTCATAATAACTACATTCTCCTTGCAATTTTGATGTATATTGAACATTATCGAGTCATCATCATCATCATCACATACACACACATAAAGTTTTTGTGTGTAGGGGACTTTGTAAGTCAAGTGCATCATGTTTGCACTACAAGCAATTGGACTTCGCAACCGCCAAACTATTGTAACTCTCATTGACATTTAATTTCAAAAAGTGATTATTTCCTCTAAAATCCGTCAATGCACAATACAATTTTTCATCCATCTATGTTTGTCATAAAAAATAAACAAATTTATGGAAAATTTCATCAAAGATAGACAACTAAAATTAAATTTAACTAACACTAAAATGAGTGGTTGAGAAATAATTTTCATGAATAAAATGAGAAATTAATGAGAAATAATTATTGTGAAATAATAATTTGAACTTATGTGAAATTAATGAGTGGTTGACTAAAAACAAATTTAACTAAAATTTCATCAAATCTAACTAATTTTTATGGATTCATAATAATAAAATAATTTTCATAAATAAAATAAGAAATTAATGCTATAAACTTAGTAAAATGCAAAATTATACCTTCAATTGCTAAGAAAGTTATGAATATCCATCAAAATCACACCCTACGCATTAATGAAGTTAAGAATTAATTGATGGATTCATAAGAGTGGTTGAGAATTAATTGATAGGTTTATAAGAGTGGAAGAATATAGTAAAGAGGAAATAATGGATGAAAGAGGGGAATTAACTGAAAAATGAAGAGAGAGAGGAACGAGGGTCCCGCCGTATTTTTCCTCTCCCATGCCTAACCGCATTTAATGACGTGTGATGGCATGGGGAGAAAATGGGAGGAACAGCCCCCGTTTCTCTCTCATAAATTTTCATTTTATTAAGTTTTTAATTTTTTTTAAAGGGACCCACTTAATCAAGACATGTGAGATATCAGGGAAGGGTATAATTGGATTTTAAAGAAAAATTAAGGTGGGACCCACATATACAAGTATTGTATTTTGAAAGTTGGGTTTAAAGTCAAAAACAAAAAACTAATTGTGTTTAAAGATACAAGCAAAAGTTATTGGGTTTAGAGATAAACTAAAGTAAAAACTTGGGCCTAGAAATAAAAACCCCTTGAAATAAACTTGGGCTTTAAATCTTTCTTAACTTAGCAAAAACTGGGTGAATTTGTACAGGCTAAAATCTATTTCCATTCGGTTTTAATTTTTTATGTTATTTCATAGGAATGAAGAGGCTTGAGTCTGCTTCAATGAGCGGGTGACTCACACGGTGCAGTTGAATTTGGGATTAACTGTTGATAATTTTTGTAATATATTTTAAAGGCGGCGCTTTTTGTAATTTTTTTTTGCTTAAATTGCTGTATTTAATTAGTTATTGGGCTGCAGGTGAAAGAGACTGCGAGGGAGGCAGGGAATGGAGCTGCGTCTTTCTGATTTTGGCAGCAGCATCAGCTCCTCTGTCCTTCGTACAAATAGGCTAATATCAAAAGTTAATAAGGGTTTGTTTGGTTATTGTGAAAGAGACTAGGAGTTTAATATAATATTGAGCTTGTAGAGGACAAAAATAGAAAAGAAAAATGGAGATGGCTTTAACGGTCTTTTGCTTTAATTTAATTTAGTTTTCACATTTTATTTTTAAATAAAGATGTCATCTTTTGAAATACCTGCTCAATTTAATTACAAATGCCTCCCTTCATCATTCATCAATCAATTTACAAGAATAAGCTGAAACGTTGCACTATAGATGATCAACTCTTAACTTACAATATTTATTTTTAGAAAATAACGTGCCAGTCTGCAGCAACCTTTTGTCCCTATGTAATTCAGAGGAAAAAGAAATTTTATGGGGGCTTATTTGACTTTTTGTGAGATATTTTTAAGAGATTGGATGTGTTGAGATTGCTTGAGAGCGGTAATAACCAAGGAAATGATACAGAGGGCAGTTCAAGAGGTGGGTGTTATCAAATATGGAAAAAACGTAACTAGTCGAATATGTACAGACTACATAGTAGGCATTTGTTTTAATTATAATTTGATTTTTTTTTTTGGGTAGTTTGATTTGATTTGTTATTTTTAATTTTATTTATTTATTTTTAATAAATATTATGTTTGTATCTCCTGGACTACATATCTAATTTTACCGGCACGCATCTCTTTCATTAAATATTGCAAATGAAGAAATTTTCTAAACAAACTCATTCATAATTATTTTTTTTTCTAAAAATAGACCCCCTTGAGTTTTTTTATAAAAATCGACCCATTTTGTCTTAATTCGATTTCTAAATAGTCGGGGTTGCCAACCCTGACTATTTAGTGCATGGAATGTTACGGTTTAGGGTTATAATTGGGGGTTTACAACCTCCTAAATAGTCGGGTTGGCAACCCCGACTATTTAGGAACCATATTAAGATAAAATGGGTCTATATTTATAAATAAAACTCAAGGGGGTTTATTTTTAGAAAATAAATATTTTTTTTTAATTAAAAAAAAAGTGAAGAAAAATAATTCATTTGGAAAGGTAAATTTTTAGATGTAGTTCTGTTCTCTATTTGGATAATTAGACATCAACTTCGTAATCGTGATTTGATCACTAATCTTTATACTACTAAAAGATACTTGCTCAGCTACATGAATCAGGGAAAACAAAAAGCACGTATACAGTTGGCCTCTACAAATTGTTGAATTAAAAAAATAGAAAGCAGCAATTTAGTGAGTGACGCGTGTTAATTTGCAGTTGATCAACGGTTGGTTTTGAAATTTTATTTCTTGTTCGGGAATGCAACTGTTAAAAAGAGAAGGCAACAGACAAAGTCATCTCTGCCGCTTTTTTCCTGACATTTTTAGTCTTTATGCTACGCAAGTTAGGCGTCCAGAATGCAAGAGGAGGATAAACAAGGAGTTAGGTGAAAATATTCTAGAGGTCGATTGTAAATATTTAGGTTTGGGAGGTTATTCGTGACAAAAGTTTACTTTCCTCTCTCCGTTTTGGTTTCCTGTAAGTTTTGTTCTTCGAATATATTTTCGTTTTTTTCTTTTTCGTTTTTTTCTTTTTCTTTTTTTTCCTCTCTTCTGGGAGAAAAACCCAAATACTAAGAGGATGAAAGTTCATTCTGGGAGAAAAAAGAAGCCAACTTAGCATCATCAAATTCCATGAAATTTCAACCAAACAGGAAAAAAATAATGTCATCTGCCATTTCATGGGATGTAACTACTCATAAAATAGTTTTTAAGGGACAGAAGCGGCTATACTCTCATACTACACTAGGCATATTTGCAATTAACTCCAGAACGAACTATTAAAAAAGTATACTAAAAGTCTAAAATTTATACCTTGTTATTCAATCAATTGATAGCCAAAGTAGTCCTTATACATAAGATTATCACTTTGGAGAGCAAATACAGAAGATGGATCAAGGAATCATAGCTTGTGACAGCATTATACCTCAAGAAATTTTAGCAGTCCATTCAGAAAACATGTACTTAAAAGCTCACAACTCAGACCCAACATTTGAACAACTCGGTTATGTTTTCCTAAGCAACTCCCTCGTCCGCATACTGCATAGCTTCTGCAGTAGCTACAGCATTATCACCTCGCTTCAGAATGTGTTCAAGAACTTCTACCTTTTCAAGAAGCGACTCGATGTTTGAATTGGCACAACTAACCAACTTGTTTGTAGTCTTTAGCGCATCACATACCTAGAAAATGAACAAGAATTACCAGTGGCATAAAATGAAATTTCTTCGTGTTAATTAACTGTTTTTTTAGGATTCAAACCTTCAGGGTTAAAACTGTCCATGAGTGATCATTTCCTTCTAACGACTTGATCAACTCGCTGTAGTTCTCCTGGTAAAATGAAGGAAGGGAAGGTTATTTATAGAAAACTTGTGAAACAAATAATCATGACTTACTTTGAACATGAAAAAAGAAAATTGCATATAATCAGGATGCCATCCATCCAAACTAATCGTGAAACAGAGGAGAAGCAGGAGACGAGCAGTCCAGCGCTCCGGCTTAGGGCCTCAAATGAAAAAAAATCAATAGGAGGGCGTAGCCTTTCTCCTTTCACTAGGCTCTCTTTCTCAATGTGCAGATTTATCCAAACCTCTCGAAGAAGGTCGAGCCTTGGGCAGTTCTAATGAAAAAGGGTGTCAAGTGATAGATAAAAAGAGAAGTAGAAGGAACAAAATTAGCCCAACAGAAAGGACTAGCATCTCTTAAAGCGAAAGTAATGAGGCTTCCCACCTTGATTTAGGGTAGGGGAATCTCGAATCACCCGTTGTTCATCTTGCTTGGAAGAGCAGTCTGAAGATGGGTGGACTATTTGCGGAGCAAACCACCCCATCAGGCTTTGTGCAAATCATTTCACCAGTTCCGAAAAGGTTCAATCATGCTGGAGCCATGTATTACGAGATTAAGATGCTTTCCTTTGAATGCTTGTGTTAGCAAATCAATTGACTTCTGATTCCGCTTTTAATTAGCATGAAAATGTAATTATATGCTTCTAACATCAAAATCATGAAACCTGACGGCTGCTGGCTCTTTGATCAGTGATTCAGCGACCACTAGATCGATGAAGAATCTCTCCAAAATATGCTCTTTGAAGCGCGCCAGAAGTTGCCCGCAACAAATTGTGTTTAGACTTGGGGATCGAACTGCCCTTTGCTTGATGGCAGCCTCTGGGGTAAGAATTAGACAGGCAAAGCACTTCATTCGGAAAATGAAAAGGCGAAGACCTGCCGAATGTGTTCCAGAGTCCGCGGGTAAATCAAAAAGTGGAAGAGACGACTCAGACGGATCGGGAAGGTCGAGATGGGACATGACTTCTTCTAAAGCTAGAAGACTATAAGATGACACACTTGTCAGAATGAAGTCCCCGAGACCTCAGGAAGTACCTGAGCTAGTTGTTTAAAAAAAATTCTCTCTAACAATTTTCTTTTTATATTTCCTTCCATAGAATCACACCAATCTAGAAAATAAAGCAACTTTGATAGAAGCAGGGAAATATCTTTAGATTTATGGAAAAATAACTATAGATAGCTCGGAAAAGACCTTTCAATTGCAGAGGGAAATAAAAAGCTTGATAACCAAATGGTTCAGTGTTAGAGCACGGGGACAAACCCTATTGCCTTAAAAGGAAGAACATCAAGATTAAAAATGGCTACTAGTTCACTATCTTTCCATCCATATCCATATTAACGATGAAGATCTGTGCAAGGATAACAGTCGTAGCAGTTCTAATAGTAATAGCGACTCTGTTATTACGGCGAGGGCTTAAACCAACTCGTTCCTCGAGGGTTCAAGTTAGGAGCGGTATAAGACATGAAGGGAGACACGGTTAAGACCTGGGTTTTGACGAGCGTTGGCGGATCCTAGAGTGCCCATCAAGAGCGCTAGCTCTCGTCTTAATGACTACCGCACTTTCCTAGGTCAGATTTTTAGCAAAGAAGGGGAAGAATACGCAAAAAAAAGAATAAGGAAAACAGGGTTATTAGTGAAGTATGCCTCGTTACCGAACTCGACATCTCCTAAAGTACTACCCGGCCGGTGGTCGTAACTCCTCTAATCAGTCTATCAGTCGGGCTTTCATCTGATTTGTTGTGGATGAAGGAAAAACCATGGCCACCGACTCATATGGGAGAAATGGGCAGTCCCCATTCAGTGTATTGCAGAGAATGGAGACATCATTAGCATCCTCGTGGCTCAGAGCGAAAAGTCAGATCAGCACTTTGTTGGAGATCTCTTTTACTAGCTCTGTCCTCAGAATGATCTGAAAGTCATTCGGGATCACTGCCATGAAGCCCCTACACACGAAATACAACTCTCCTCTATCTCACTCAAGTGAATTTGTTTCGAGAGCATTCAGCCAATTTTTAGCGACTTTCACTTTCAACCCGAGTTACCGCTTATTTGTCATTTACGCCCGATCACTCCGAAGAACACTTGCACCCCCCCTCCCGGTCTAGCTGCTGTCACTAAGTTAGTCCCCCTCCATCATATCGCGGCTGCTGGCACGGAGTTAGGCGAAGCCTCAGTTAAGGTAGGTTTAGTGTCTTAATAATTGATATCTTGCTTCCAACTGGCTGATAAGGGCCGGTTAGAGTAGAACAGATTCATCGACAACATAGCTGGGTCCAAAAAGTTTGAAACCAAGCTACTACTATAGAAAGACCTGACTTATCATCTGGATCAATAGTAGACGGAGCTCCGAATGATTGAACTATCATCATTGTAAGAAGAAAGGACTAGTAACATTGTAGAAGAAAAATCCACTTGTAAAGGGGTTAGCTTCATCCCCAATAGCTCCTCTCCAATTGAGAATAGAAAGGAATAACATCTCTTACAACAAATGTAATGGTTGAACCTCCACTCAGGTGAACTGGTTTGGAGAGCATTCCGCTATTTTTGGCGACTTTTAATTTAATGTATTTCTTCTCGAGCTTCTATTTCCTCCGTTAAGGGAGATTCAAGAAAAGACAGAATAAGAATACGTGTTTCCAAAATGAACCACATACGGGTGGAGAAGATAATCCTTTTATTCCTTTACATTATGTTTAACGTATCTCCTCAGGACAAAAAAAAGCACGTTGGGTTCATTTCCTTTCCAATTTCGGGAGTTTTGGTTCTTCCATGAATCTTTTCCATGAATCTTTGAGTCATTTCCTTTCCAATTTCGGGTGTTTTGGTTCTCCCATGAATCTTTTCCATAAATCTTTCTTTCCAATTAATGTGGAGACCTCTAACTACAGGTCGAGTATTGCTTTTCTTCCTCGATTGTTATACTTCATGGGTGTCTCCTGTGGTCTTCTAGCATTAGAAGAAGTCATGTCCATTCAGTGACCATCAATGCTTTCGAACTAGGCTTTGTATAGGTTTTCCACAGGCTCTTGCTTTCCATGTCAAAGAGAAGGTAGGCAAAGAAAGAGCCATAGTTGAGGAGATGAACGCATTAGTCAGCCAGTAAAAGCTATTTTTAACTAATTGACCATTAATAGCATGCGACATAGATGCTATCTAAATTGATCGAGAAGAGGGGGGAGGCTCGAAACTTAACCTATGAGTATCAAGGACGGGTTCCCCTTAGGACAGCCAAAACACATGGTGATGGATCCATAGCAAGAAGACTACTTGACCCATGGCTCTCGACTCTTCCGCTGAATCACTCGCCTCAGGATTGCTACAATGTTTGAAAGAGATCGTAAAGATGGAACCAGTGTTATCAACAAGGTTATTGATAGCGGATAGCGTGAGGCATTACTAAGGCTATTTCGAGCTATTACGACAAAATAACGGTAAAAAACGTAAAGTCAAATAGCGGTCCAATTTAGATATGTATAAATACTAAAAAAATTAAAGAAAAATCTAAGAAATCTAAAAGTATATATTGGATGATTTAAAGAGATCTTAAACATGAAATAGACATGTAACAATCACGTAATATTGAATATGACTAGAGGAGTGAAAAAGTTATCGTTTTCGATAAGAAGGGCTTAGCGGTGACAGGACTGCCTTAAAAGGAGCTCACGGTGAAGGAGGTGAGATAAAGTATCAAGACAGGTGTCAGAGGCTATGAGAAGTGACGGGTGTATGCTGAAAATCACAAGAGACGGTGGAATGCAATGGTCAATGGTTGAGTTTAATTTTTAAAAAATAAGCTTCAAACCGCTTTTAAATAGTAGTCAAAAAATAAATTTCGAATACAATCGCTCACTATTTACCGTTATGACACACTATTGACCGCTTTTGCGAACAGATATATTCCGTAATATGTCACCACTATTGTGCGATAGCGTAGCGGGCGATAACGTCGTGGAAAGGAACCGCTAACGCTATTAGCGTCGCTATTGCGGGGCTATTTACCGTTATTTATAACAGTGGTTATCAATGCGAGAGGCGCAATGTGGGACGTAAAGCATCTTTACACGCACATGCGCAAGGCGCAACGCGATGCGCGCGCCCGAGTGATGCGAGGCGCACACCACCCACATAATTTTTCAAAATATATAATCAAGCGTGAAAGAACATGTTTTTAGAATTCACATCAAAAATGTTATGATAAATAATATATTACTACAAAATGATAATATAATACCTTAATTTCTAATGCTATCACCTAACATAGTAGCAAAATTCATAAATTTGCAAATCAAATGTTAAATCAAGACTAATATCCAAGCAAAGGATTAGTAATGGTCCTCAATTGAAGGATACTAAAAATGTCTAATGGATTTATTTTACTTTTTGGCATATGGAATATCAAGTATAAAGACTCGATTAAAATGTTAACAAACAAAACTATATGAGGATATGTACTACATGCACCCTGCACAAAATAAGGATGTACGCAAGGCACAAAAGGCACTGCTACATCAGAAGTGGGGCGTTCCGCCACCGTCCCGCATCGTAAGGTGCATAAGGCGCAGTAAGGCGCACGCCTTTGAAAACACTGGATGGAACAAAAATATATGTAATAAAGCTACTACATAATCCTAGGTTCAAGTATCTAAATAAAGTTGTAGGGATCAGGACAAAATGTTGGAACTACAAAAAAGTTTTTGACTATTATCCATGACATACTAAATTATCTTGTTAGAGGAATCTTTTTGTTAGAAGCGCATAGAACAACATCTAATATGATCAACTTTTCCCTTTCTATTGGATCCACTTTTAACCTTTTTGTCGTTAATTGAAGTCTTTTTCTTTCCCCTACAGTTTATATACCATAGATTTATACCATTTATGCAACCTTGTGAACCCTGCCGCATGTCATTTGATGATTGAGTTAGCTATAGCATGACTAAGGACATATTATCTATATACATTTGAAGAGTAGCATAGGAATAGGC